GGATATCATCACACGAGGATGTCTCCTGGACAATTTCCCGCTTACAGAGGTCCAGGCCTCTGTTCTGGTGCACAGCCTTCGGGTGGACCAGTTGCTGCTGGTCGAGGTGCCGGATGATGAACTCGTGCTCCGGTCAACGGAGCGGCGCATTGATCCCTTGACCGGAAGGATCTACCATCTGACTTTCCGACCACCCCCATCCGACCAACCGCAAGTGGCCGGGCGCCTGGTCCAGCGGAGCGATGACAGGGAGGAGCTGGTCTTCAAGCGCTTGGAAACCTACAAGCGCCATATTCAACATATACTGCCCTTCTTTGAAAATAAAGTCTACCGAGTGGATGGACGGAACTGTCCTGCAGAGGTCTTGGCCGAGGCCTGCTCGGCCGTGGATCGTTTGGAGTGGACCTCGGAGGAGCTGCCCTACTTCGGGAACGTGGCCTTTGCAGGCCCCTTCTCGATCCAGCAGGCGCGGCGTGCGGGCTTCTACTCGCCAGAGGATCCGCCGGAAGTGGGTGAGAATGTCGTGTGCTTCCAGCGAGGGACGAACTGGCAGCGCCGTGGGCAGGTCGAGGATGTATCCGAAACCTGCAGTGACGGCAATGGCCTGCGCAAAGGCCACGAGGGCATGTTGGTGACGGTAGCAACAGACACAGGCCGAGGCACAGGAGGCACTTTCACGTCCTGGTCGGCCTTCCTGGCCCCTGTGAACGACAAGGAGTATTCATCTCTTTGTACCACGCACGGGCTTTTGTCTTCGAACTTCTGCAGCTTGTATCCTTGCAGCAAGGGTGTTGGAGATGTCGACTTCGTCTCTAAGGAGGCCGCAAGAGAGAGCCTTCAGAAGTGGCTGACGAATTTGGAGGATGCCGACGGGGAACCTTTCGACATCGATGCTGCAAAAATGGAATCCTTGCTTCAGCTCTTCGACTCGCACGAGGACGCATCCCTCTACCTGTATACGACGCACCAGAAGTTGGGGCAAAGGGTTACGCTAAATACAGGTCAAGACTACTCGCTTTACTATCGTGCTCTCAACAATACTCTGAATTGTGATGCTCGCAGCAATCTTGCAAATGCCATGTTACTGATTCAGCGGATGGTCTACCTCCTTTTGTACACCGAATCGGACGGATCCAAGCGGCTTCACGAGGGAGGTCGGGTGTGGAAAGGCGACACACAAAGGCCCGTTCCCTTGAACATGCAAAAACTCAGGGAGGCGCAACGACTGGACCGTTTCGTCCGCTTCCGCCAGTTCCAGAGCACCACCAGAGACAGAAGTCTTGCGGAGAAGTATCGGGCAAGGGAGGATGGCAAAGGCTACCTGTGGATTATCGACATCCCCCCAGGCTTCTGGGGCGCCCGGGATATCCAGGATATCTCCTGGAAAGAAAATGAAAGCGAAACACTCTTCCCGCCCTACTCCGCGTTTCGGGTTCAGAGCCTCGACGAGAGCAGCTGCCAGCTCTTGGCCGTAGCGGCTCGGCTTGGTCAGAGTTTTTTTGAATAAGACTTCGGAAAAGTGCAGAAACCGCCACGTTTCGCCGGCACTCTCCTGCAGCTTGTGCGTTTACGTTTTGGGGAACATGGTCCGCTGTCAGGATCGTCGTGCCGAGCTCTTCAGTCGAGCAGAAAGACACGGTCTGCGTGGATCAGCAGTGGAGCTCCTGGACTACTAGCAGACCGCCTAAAGTTTCTTGTGGATACCTTGCACCAGCACGGCAGGGATTGCAGTCTCACGTCTTCTCATCTGTACCATATTTAGGAATCTAGTCAATCTAGTCGTATCTAATCCTCTGGCTGGGCGAACATGGCAGAATATCTGCAGCCGTTCAGTTTTACGCTAACGACAAGCTGTCTCTGCGCAGACTTGATTTGTCAGCTTGCTGTGTTGGGCAGTGGAGAAAAGAATTGTCAGATCGCCGATTATTAGGGTAAAGGACCAGGTGCCATGCGCGCCTGTCGACTCGTCTCTGACTTGGGCTAGGAGAGGCTCTGTTTCAGATAGGAGCTTCGATTGCACGATTTTAGTCCCGGGTTCAAGTTGCACGCAGCGGTGTCCAATAGTGTTCCACTATCTATCGGCAGACAGATTTCGTTGCATATGACAGCGAAGCTGAAATCGTTCCTTTCCGAGGTTCAGACTTCCTGTTCATGATGGATGCGTACCACCTTCACATGTCTCGCTGCAAGAGCAGGCAGGCCGAAACGTTGCAGGCGTTTGCAGGCACATCATCCGTTTTGATCAGCAGTCGTTTGCTCAGCTCGGAACCCACGTGCGATTGGAGGAGTGCGATGCCGCTTGCAGCTGTGCTGCAGGGTGCAGGACCACATCTGTGCCCAGGAGGTGGCAAGCTCAAATCCGTCCACAGCTTTGCTTTTGTCCTTGAACCTGCACGGCGCTCAAGCATGTGCAGTCCTCATGCAAATCTGTCGGCAGGCAACCATCACCCCGTAGCTCCACCCGGAGCCACACCCTACCAGATGGCTTCACACTCATCAAGCTCCCTTTTCATTGTGCGGATGAAGGTGCAGCAATGCAGTGGTCAACTGACGTCTGGTTGCACTCCAGCAACTCTAGCACTTGATGACGACTCTTCGCAGGAACTCTCAATCCCAAGTGTCGTGGCAATCACCGGGAATGCAATCGGCGGTGGAGTGGCCGTGCGAAGCACTCAATGACAACGGATAGAATCCTCTTGTTGCTGGTCTTCTGGGATGGGAAGTCAACCAGACAGTGCTTTGCTGTGGGCAGAGAATTCAGCTCAGGTCGCTGAACTGCACCGAGCGTGTGATCACCCAGAACGGAAGCGCAGCCTTCGGAAATCTCAGCCGAGGCCAGGGGGAGAAACTCTACGTGGTAGTCTCGGCTCATGGGGCCGTGCTCGGTTGTCAAGCCTGGTTTTGTGTGTGGGTGTGGGTGGGTGTGTGTGTGTGTGTGTGTGTGTGCGTGCGTGTTTGTGCAGCTGAAGCATTGAAGCATGCACAAATGCACAAACCCGCGATCCCACTACTGGTGTTGCTTCAGGGTCTCAAGTTAGAAACCGCACTCCTGACGGGAGTAGCCGCTGCATGCAGGGTTCGGCATATTGTTTTCCAAAACGAAGCTCTGTAGGCGTGGGGCACACTGCACAGCACCGTTTCCGCAAAGTCATTTCATTGCACGCCAGGTGCATGTCCGATCATGTTTCTGTCCAAGCACTTGCCACAGCATGTGGGCCTCACGGCTGCGTGGCTCGTCTCGAAATGGTACGCTGCATAAAAATGGCAGCCATGATCCAAAGGGTGATGACTTGCTAAGTCTGCTCGCGAATGAACGAGTCATTGAGAATGAGTATGCCTGCAGCACTCAGCGAAGCTGTTCACAGAACTGGACTGCCATGCCTGAGGATCGACATTTATCTCACTGATTCGACAGTCAGTGCCGTCGCCGCTCAGAAGGCCAGCTGTGTGCAGGTTGTGCGATTGAATGTATGTGAGCTTCTGTCGAGAGCCGTCACTGATTCGCCTTCCTTCGACAGGCAGGGCTCGCATCTCGGATCGCCGTCGACAACAAGCAGCCTTTCTGCAATGGGGCAGCCCGGGTCGCACACAGCGTCCATCTAAACCTTTCAGGTCGACCAAAGCCACTGCCTTGGCATTGGCTCAGATCTCAGCTCGAATTCGTTCTGTTGTGCGTTGACGTGCCTTACCCGGGCCAGGCTCGCAAGATGGCTTCTCTCCCGACGGCGCGACTGAGCGTGAGCGTGCAGCCGGCTCTCTCCGCGCGAACCTCAGACCTCGGACCATCTCGGACCTCTCTGGGAGCTGGTAAATCTCTCGCAGAAACCTGACCTAAGCTTCCAGTCTTGCGACTGCTCAGGTCCAACGCTATGACGACGAGGCCAGATATCGTAGCACAGTCGTGACATCCGGCGCTGCGGTGTTGAGTCCCCATGCCATCATTGCTGCTGCAGGCATATGGCATCTACACTTGTGGCAGGACAGGCCAGATGCATTTTCCCGGCCGGCAGCTCGGGTTGTGGGGATTCCCCTGTGTGTGACTGGTCCATCGCAGAAGCTTCGTCGCACATGGTGCCTAGGGGCCTCCTCCAACTCGTCCGACCTTCCTCGTAGCGCGGGAATAGTTGCGATGAGCAAGGAAATACACGGCTGGGTAGGGGGCATCTTGAGTGCAGCCAGACAGCAGTGCACGAGCTCCTGTCGGAATGCTTGGCAATCGCACTGGCACAACAGACTGTGAACGAAGACCAAAGGTCACAGAGCGCATCGTCCAAGCTCTCTTTCCAACATTTGCAGAGTGAAACCGTGGTGCGCTGGTGGCTGTGTGTGCTGCTCTCCTGACTGTGGTGGACTGGTCAGCAAGAGGAGACTTGATACCATTAAGAGCTCTGGCACTTTGACACTCCCGTGCTCTTCAACTAGATTTTTTCTTGGGCTTTGTCCCCAGCTCCCGCATGCAATTAAAGTTTGTCGCGCGCCCTGAGGTCAAAAGCACTAATTAACATGAGATGATGAGCACTGCTGAGCCTGGCTGTACAGAAAAGGCACATCGAATGCCACTTACTGCGTATAAGTCTCATCGAGACACCAGAGAGGGGAAGTTCCTAAGAGGGGTTCGACGTTTGGACAGCAGCAGTTGTATCAATATTCTGTAGGAGTGCGATTGCTTCCATCAGCATCAGTCTGGACGGTATCTCAGTTGAGCTTTTGTCAAGCTTGATGATGCGGACGACAGACATGAGGTGTAGCTTGTGCATGTGGACCTTTCGACGAAAGCTCAGAGAAGGTGGCTCCTCTTCCATGTGCAGGGGCGTAGCCCTCCAAGGTCTCACTTCCCTCAGGGCGACGCCAAAAGAAGGTCGCAGCAATCAACCATTTCCTGCCATCCTTCATGAGTCCACGACCACTCTGGTAAACAATGTTATAGTCAACCCGCCAAGCTCAAGCTCTTGTTGGCTCGAAGGGCGAGTTTTGGTGGTAGTTGGCTGTTAACTGTCGAGATGATGGCGCGTGTAGCAGTGGGTCTTGCGGCCCTCCTCTTGGCATCTGCAGGTGTGAGATGCGGTGACTGTCTTCGGATTGTTTTGTCTGGCTGAGGCGCTGGTCCCCCTGGCCGCCGGGCAGAACGATGCTCTGATGGCCGACCTGGAAGCACTCCGAGCTGAAGTCCTTGCACAACAAGCTCTCATTCAGGTTGGGCTCCTTCACTCCTCGATCCTCTCGCTGATCCCTAGGGCCCTTAGCCGCCAGCCTGTTCAGGAGCAGCAGCACCGCTACGATTCCATGGTCGAGGCTCGAAGGCTTCAGGTGGGCTATGTGAGCACCGAGACCTTCAACGCAGAGGCGCGGCACTTGCACTTGCCATATCTTGTCATAGCTGGACTGGGGAGAAATTGCAAGCCAGGTCCAATCGTTGAAGAATACGCAGTACAGCCTGGGCGGTGCGATGGACTCCGCTTGGCTGTGCCTCTGCGGTTCTCTTGTCATGTTCATGCATGCTGGCTTCGCAATGTTGGAGACCGGCAGCTGCCGCGCAAAGAACGCATCCAACGTTCTCATGAAGAACTTGGTCAATGTTACGGTGGCTTGGCGTGCTTCTGGCTGGCTCTTNNGGACCTAACATGTTGGATTTCTACATGAACCAGAATAAGTAAACCAAGAGTTGAACTTTTAGAAGGGTTCCGACGTCAGCCAAGGTGGGTACACTGGGATGGTGGGCCTTTGGCTGGGCTTTTGCCTATGGCAGCCAGGGCGAACCGGCCAACGGATTCATCGGGACGTCGGAGTTCTTCGGTGTCGGACTGTATACCAAAGTTGCGGACACGGATGTCATCACGCCCCTGGCATCGTGCGATGGGGACGGATGCCAGAGCAAGATGCTGAGCTGGTTCTTCCAGTGGGCGTTCTGTACTGCCGGCGCGACCATCGTGAGTGGTGGCGTGGCGGAGCGGGTGAAGAGCCCCACCTACGCGGTGTACGCCTTCTGCATGACCAGCTTTATTTACCCGGTTGTGGTCGCATGGACATGGGGTTACGGCTGGTTGGACTCAGTGCTGGACGTGGGCTGCCGGGCTGCGTTTGCTTTGGGATTCGTGTGATAGGCATGCAAGCAGTTGCAGACTTCGTGCTCGATCCTTAATCTTTGCATGTACTTGGAGGATTTGTCTGCTACTAAACCCGTGTTAGGTTGTCAGCGGCCTCGTCACTACTACTACTACTACTACTACTACTAAGGCTACATGGATTTTGCGGGCAGCGCCATCGTGCACTTGACGGGTGGCGTGAGTGCTCTGGCAGGCACTGTCGTGCTCGGCCCACGCAAGGGTCGCTTCGAGAACCCCGAGGAGTTCGAGTGCCACAACTTGCCCCTGGTGGTGCTGGGCACCTTTGCGCTCTGGTTCGGATGGTA